TGAAATTTTTAAACTCTAATGCAGATGGAAACAACTTAATATGGGAGCAAATATCCCTAAACTCAGATTTTTCATAGAGGCCTCTTATGCTTTAAATGGGAAAAGAATCACAATCTTTAACCATTTTTAATGCGTATATCAAAACAATGAAGAAGGAAGATTTCATTATTATCAAACATTGTTGCAGACAGTTTTGACAGAAAAGCATCAAATATATATTAGGGCCTTGCAGGTGATCTTTGTGATTTATCTAAGGAACAATGTGAAGATATATGTACAATTGAACAGATATTTGTTATAGATAGAGACATTGAAACCATGGAGCAGATATTTTTGGATTTAGTTCAAAAACACGGCTTTAATAGCTGGATCTAATGTATGGTACAAGTACTCTATGCATTACTCCGTGGACTTGACCACTTTATGAAAGTTGTAGTTCATTTAGCTGCAGGAGTTTACGCATGGACAGAGTCTAAGACAGCCAGTACTACGCACTTCCTTGAAATAGAGAAAAAATATATACAGGAGTTAATTGGCAAAAAAACAGGAATCAAGTGGGATTTTGCAGATTCATCAGGTCAAGGTGGGGGAGGGGGGTAGTACTACAACTGACAATGTAGCTAGAAGTCTTCTTTATAATGAGAAAAATAGAAAACTGATTACTGACTACATTTCAAATAAACATGCCAGAATGTTAGCAGAGCCGTACGGTCTCTTGTTGTCTAATATTATTTGCGCTATGTCATCTAGTCAGAAAATTAACATAAAAAAATATAGAGACATATGTAAGGAGACAAACATTCTTCTTTGACAAGAAATGCCCTGAGTTAGTTTGATACCGACTATTCATAAGTTATTAGGACATACTTGGGAGCTTATTGAGTTAAATAATGAAGGACTTAAATCATGGAGCGAGGAAGGCATGGAGGCCAACAACAAACAACTTAGAATATTTAGAGAAAAACTATCAAGAAAAACAAACCAGTTGCAGAACTTGGAAGATTGTTTTAAAAGACTCTGGGTGGGTTCTGACCCTTTAGTTACCGAGCAAAGGAACAAAGGTCGAATACAATGCAAATTGTGTAGTGAGATAGGGCGTAGTAAAAGAACATGTTTCAAAGTACATGAAAATGACATTGTTGATACTTTTTTTATGTAAAATAAAAAAATTAAACTTGAGCGTTTGCTTGTATTTTTTTAATCTTTTTAGAAATTTAGATAAAAAATCTAGTGCATTATGCTTAAAGAAACAATAAAACATAGTTTTTATAACCACAAATAACTTAAAAACCGGGTGTTTGGTAAATATATGTGGCATACCAAACTTATGGCAACAGTATGAAGTTTCCAAATAATATATGGTTTAGTATTACTAAGTCTTCGGTTTTTGAGATATTTGAGGAAGTACACAAAATTTAAGAGATTTTTTTTTGCGAAAACTGACTTTTCCATTCAATTTTTTTAAAAGAAATGAAATTTTTTTATTAATAACGTTAAAAAAAAAAATGAAATTAACACTTATTTTGTTCATTCAATTTCGTGAGAAATGAAATATTTTTTTTTATTTTTGTCTATAAATCTGCTGCATACAATTCAAATTATAAAAATGTATGTGAAAAATACTCTGCAGTAATGAACTGCAGAGTATTCTCTGCAGTATGAACGTCTTTTTTACATGTTTTTTAAAACTTTGAAAGGTCATTTCTTAACCAGGCATGATAATGACCTCTAGTCTTTTGCATTTAATTTGAATTTCATTGTAGTTTCAAAAAATCATTAAAAAATTTTAGTGCCAATATATAGATTTTTTCATTTTGTCCACCATTTGGACCACTGTGAAACTGCACTGAAAATATTGTGAGACCTGCCCTTGAGCAGGTCCAACCCATCGAATTATTGAAAGGTTACATCTGTTTCTCTTTAGGGTCATTTAAGTTATAGCTGTACTATATCATCATTATATATAACTGTACTATATCATCATTAAATTAATGTTTATTTATTTAATAATTTAAAAATATAAATATTTAATAAATAAGTAGTAATATAATTGATATTAAATAACAATAATAAGAAATACACTTCAAACAAAAAATTCAAAAAAAAACATAAAGTGTTACAAAAGTAAAAACATGAGTTCAATCCAAACTTCTGCTTATGAAACGATTACCAAACTTCTGCTTATGCAAAACATTGTGATACCAAAGATACTACACTAACTGTTTGTTTAAATTAAAACTATATATTTATTGTGGATTATTGTGGACCATACCTCAGAAGTAGCTTGTTTGTTTAGTCAGATAAATAGTCCCTATTGACTTATACAAATTTAAATGGAAATATAGGAATGCAAAAAATTAAATAAAATAATAAATATTAAAAATACGTATTAAAATTATAAAAATTATAAAATATGTATTAAAATTATTAATTAACAAAAACACCTATGAAAATTTAAAATATTATTATATTTAAAATCTCACAAAAAAGATTATGAGGGAATGAGTTAAATTGGTTTGCATAAGTTTGGGAGAGGGGGTTAGTAAAGCCCTAGACTTAATTACAAGGGAGGAAAGGAGGGGTCCAAAACTGTCAAAAATTGCACGATATAATTAGAAAAAGTCCAAAACTGCACTGAAAATTGTGGACAAGCCCTTGGCTACAATTAATAACATATTTACTCTTTATAACATATTAACTATTTTCTGTGACTTGTGTTTCAGCTAAGTAGCATCTTTTTATTGTATGTTCCTTCATGCTCAAAAAACTTTTATTTATCATTATTTTTTCTTATAATATCAGTACTTTGCAATTCTCTCTGATTTCATGGTTTTCAATATTATACAAATTATGGCAAGTGGCAATTATCAAGCAAATCTCCATGGAAAAAGTTAAAGAAGTATTAAAATGGAGAATAAAGTATGAAAAGTAAAAAAAAAACTTAAAAGTAATATTTAAATTTTGAAATTTTTTCTCTCCTTCTAATAAGTTACAAGCTGTAATTTTTTTTAGTTTACCTCACAAGTAATATTTATAAACTTTAAAGACACATTAGAAAACAAGGTTATACATGTTAGGTTAAATTTCCAAGAAACTTTTATGGAATTAACATCTTTGACTCTTAGGAAATCAACCTTGTTTGGTTGGTTCAAAACCAAAAGGTCAGATACCTTTTGGTACCAAAAGGTCAGATACCTTTTGTTTTTGAAAATATAGGTTGCAAACTTTTGAAAATTTTTGATAAACTTTCTTTTTTCCTAAGAAATGTCTTTCTTGTATTGATTCTAAAAAACTGATTTTAAAAAAATAATAAATGAAACCATATTAAAAAATTTACAAAAGCTATTCTATGATGCTTTATTAAAAATATTTCTGATAATAAGACTTGCATTTTATTATTTCATTTGTAATTTATTTATGTAACATAATAATAGAACGTTGCAAAACTTAATTAGGTTTTGTTACTGTTAGTAATAGATATAAATCACTGAATTAGAAAATGCCTAAAATATTATCTAATGAAAGAGTTAAAAAGCAAGAAAATCAGATCAATACTTTTTGTTGTTGTTGTTGTTGTTAGAAGAAATTTTTAAATCAGATTCAAATCACTTAAGTAATAGAGCTTACCTAAAAATGTGAAACTTAAATACTCAACATGTGTGTACAATTATCCAACAGTTAAATTTAATTTTTATAGTTAACTATAGCAATTTTTAAAAAAAATCACTTTGGAAAAAAATCAATATTTAAAAAAAAAACTTATTTGATGTAGGCATAGGTTTAGCATGCAGAATATGTAAACTTCCTAAAGTAAAGAAATACTAAATATAGTTAAAACTTGATCTGCAGATATGTCTGGATGTGTTCATTCTTGAAATCGTAAAACATACACTGTTTGTTCTAAAAAAAAAGAGACTTGAGAATGGAACCCAAACACATATGATAATTTATTTATTTGATTGATAAAGATCTATGACTTATTTTAATTGGTATAGCCATTTGTGTTTCTGTATTGAATAAATTAACAAATTTCTTCAATAAATTATTAAGAAAGTCAAGAAAACTGAAACAATGATTTACAAAAAACAAGATTCTTGCTAAACTTTAGTCCAAATAGAATTAAACTATAGCAAAACATTGAATGAAAAAACCTGAATTTAATATCATCTTTTTAAAATTTAGACTAATTTTTGTGGTATAATGCTGTTTGTTTTTTTTTAGAAAATATTCTGTAATGAAACATTTTGCGGTTTTTAGATGTTGAAACTATTTGCAGGAGACAAAAAAATCTTTATTTTAGCAACATTTATTTTTATAAAATAAAAATAAGTACACATATAAATTAATTATAAACTAATTTATATTTATTTAATTAAAAATAGTAAAGCTAAAATAAAATATCTAGATTTTCTAAAGCTACAAAACTGTAAAAAAAAAAAAAAAAAAAGCTTTTTTGAAAATAATTATTACTTTTTTTAGAATTTCAGAAAATTATGATTTAAATATAACTTTATGTCATATATTAAATATAACTTTAGTGGAACTTTAAACAAAACAGATAAATTTAGACTCCTGGCAGCAGGTATACTTGTGAGTAGAGAATGTAAATTTTTCAGTGGTTCTATAAGAACAACTTTATCATTGGAATAATAACATCAGAGATACTTAGAAGTCAATTATCGAAGTTTTGAAATATAAGATTTGAAAAAAAAAACTTCAGGTTTTCAAGAAAAACAACAGATCTTTTGAATGCTCTCTGACTAAATTTTAATAATTTCCAATCAAATCAATAGCTGCTTTCATTATTTTTAGATTTTAAAGACATATCTTTAGATCTTTTTGGTTTGTCTTTTGATCACTATTTACTATACCTGGATTAAAGCCTTATTTTATTATCTTGACAATGATTTATTCAATATTAGATCTATAAAATTTACACATAATTTTTTATTTTATAAATAAGTGTTCAAACACAAAAATGAAAAGAAAAAAAAACATACCCAACTTTTGCTTCATGAACCTTGATATAGTTTGGTATTAAAGATTGACTTTCTTCAGTGTCAGAAAAAACTTTTTTTTTAACAATATTCATGGTAATGGCACTAATAACAAGAAATGAACATCGTTAAATTTAATATTTTTTCAACACATAAAAGATTTAAATAAAAAATGGTTAATAGAAAAAACATCTTAACTAAACAAAAGAAAACATTTGTAAATTTATAAAAATTACAACAAAATAAATAAGAGAAATATAAAATTTTTAGGTATAAACAAGAACATTAAGATATATAAACCTTTCTTAATTTATTTAATTTTGCTCTGCAAAATATTAGTCATTTTAATTTGAAATGCTCTTCAAATTCTTCTTGCTTTATTTATGCAAAATAAAACAATGATCTAAAATATAAGTGTTTAATAGAATAGAACTGTTAACAGCCATTCAACACAGTAAAGTTAAATTCAAGCTACATAGCTTTTAGAATTATAATAAATAGTGCAAAAAAAATTTAAGAATATTTTAGAACTTATTGAATGTTACTAAAATAAGTTTTCTTTTATTTATATATAACTATAAGAATCTTCCTTATTTGTATACAACTGTAAAAACTTCTAGCAGAAATAGTGGCCTATCGAAAGGGCAGGTCTTCTAGCAAGTTCAGGTAGTGTCCATAGCTTTCTGGGATTTATTCTGGATTACTTGAAGAATTGCTGTATTTTTTAATATTAAAATTATTATCTGATATAATAGACAGAAATCAATGTAAATACAAGGTCTTTGTATTTACAGTCCTTGTCAAGGACTATATCACTAGACATAATAAAATTATTACAAAACTAGCCAATCAAATAGTACTAATAATTTAAATTGATTAGCTTGTTTTGGCATAAAAAAAACTTTAATACACAATAAAAGCACTTTATATATTTTCTGATTTTTACTACTATTGGAATTAACAAAAAAATAAATTTCATTCAAATAATCCTCTTTAAAATGTTGCTATGAATTTTTCTTTTAAATAAATAAAATATGCTCTTAAAAAGTAAAAAGCCTTTGTCAAAGGTTTTAACATAAAAAAGTTTTGAAGTTTTATTACATAGAATCTCAAACTGTTAGTATAAAGAGTTGTGTTTATTTAATAATAAAAAGAATTTTATTTATTTAACAATAGTAATTATTAATTATTGTTCTAGTAGCAGTTTAAAGACAGTTTTTTAATAATTTTTAGTTACAATTTTTATAATAGTTTCATTATAATAATTGTAATAGTTATTTATTATAAAATAAGATTTGCAACCGTGAAATCTAAACAAATATTTTCACTATAACTAAACTTTAAACTTATATTGAGAAACTATTTTACAACGAAATGGGGAAAGAAACTTTGTCAACATGTGATGTCAATCAAGTAAATAAAGCGATACGCGATAAAAATTAAACTTATGTTAGATATTGGCTGTTTCTGAGAATTTTAAAAACTGTGACGTAATCGTAAGCCTTATTTTAAAAACCATATTTATAACATATTATACAAACTTTAAAAACATAATTAAAAACTTCTAAAAAATATTTACAAATCAAAGTGGTCAATAAAAATAATTTTAAAATAATTAATCAAATCATATTTATAGACTTTTGCAATAGGGAAAATGGGCTTTTTTTTTTTTTTTTTTTTACAGGGTTATTCATTCTTATATGCGCGATTATTCATTCTTTTATGCGTATTTATTCATTCTTATAAACGTATTTATTTATTCTTATATGCGTATTTATTCATTTTTATATGCGTATTTATTCATATAAGAATGAATAAATACGCATATAAAAATGAATAGCGCTGTAAAAAAAATGCCTGTTTTTCCTATAACAAAAGTCCATAAATATGATTTGATTAGGCATATAATATATGCATTTTAAAAAAGCATATTTAAGAAATTTTTTTAGAGAAAACAATTTGTTTTTTCAAAACAAATTTTTTTTGTTTCCTGTTAAACGAGATTAAAAATACTTAAGACGAAGACTTTTTACATTCGATGATGGTGTATTTATTTTAGTATTAGGTCTTTGTTTAATTTTGTTATTAAATGTCTTGATTGATTAAGTTTTTATTTATTTAATTATTCATTTATCTTGATTTAAATTTAATTAATTATAATTATTATTGATATCAAATATTTACCCTATGGGTGGAAGAAAAAATAGCAGTGCCAAAACATGGGGGAAATGTTACAAAAGAGCACATTGAAATGCTTAAGCATTTAGTTGAAAGTAATAAATCTACAACAAGCATTTCCATCTCTCTTAATTTATCTAACATCTTGTCGTTAAGTTAAACAGATGAGAATTCGATGACATGACAGTATTCAAGTTGTTTTCTGACAAAAAAAAAAAACGAGGTAAAAGACCTTTAAACGCTCAAATAAAAAATATAATCGAATTATGCGTACAAGAAAACATCTTTTTTACGCAAGAAGCAATAAAAGAAAATCTTTCTGCAGCAGGCTTTAACATGTCTCAGCCTACTATTTTAAAAAAAACGCAAACGCCCTATCGAAAAAATAATTTATCAATAATGCGTGTTGTGCATGTGCCAGAAGAACGAAACTCAACACGAGTTATTGATGCAAGCTATGCATTTTCAAACGAAATTAGTGGAATTTCAAATAAAAAACTTATTTATTTGGATGAAAATGGATTTAATGTGCACGTTAACAGCACTTATGGTTATTCGCTAAGAGGTGCGCCAGCAATTTTACAGTCGTCTGCAAATCGTGGCAAGAATGTTAGTTTAATGCTGTTTCAACAATGGGAGTGCTGGCTGATGAAACAAAAACTGGAGGCTGGAATGCAGATTAATTTTGTACTTTCATTACAACAATGTTGCCACCAGCGATTAGAAATGCAGATGTGGAAGCAATGTTCAAAATGATATTTGTTATTTTTTTTAATTTGTTATTTAGGTGCTCCAAGAAGACCAAACGGTCTTGTCACAGAGCACCGTGGAAGTGCATTTAACCAGGAAGTTCACGCCTCCTTCATTACCGTGACGCGAAATATGTCCAAAGCTTGTTTCGAACCTGGATCTCCTGCTTAAAACTAAGCGCTCTAACCACTGCACCACGACTGCGCAGATATCCTTCAACCACGTTCAGTTTTATATATAGAAAGCCTGTATTATACTTTTTAATACAATTGTAGTTCAAGAAATCGGAAACTTTTGATGTTATAATATAATTAACATTTGAGAATATAATTAACACGTGAAAAAACATTAAGGTTTTGTGATTTTAAAACTAAGTTTAAACTTTATAATGAAACAACTGCATCCTTTATTCCTTGGAAATTTGGCATATGGAAGTAAACGAGGTCCTTTTTTTTTACTAGTCACTAGTTGGTTTTTAGTCACTAGTTGGTTTTTTAGTCGCTTGTCGGCACAAAGCAGATTCAAAATCCACATAGTGTGGAGTTATTTTGCGCACTTTTGTAGAAATTAACTTTTTCTAACTAGACTTCTACACAGAAGTGCGGAGTTATTTGCACAAAATTGTGCAAAATAACTTCACACTTGTGTCAAGGAGTGATAGCTACACACCGGTGTAGAGGGAAACTCCACACTTTCCGCGAGTGTGTAATATGGGTTATAATGGTCGGTCTATTTCACATCTCTACTAGGTGTATGCTTACTTTTTGTTCAATTTCTTTCACCTTTTCTTGGTCCTCAAGCTGTTTCCTACAACTTAACTTATAGTTAAAAGAGTTCGACTTAAGAAAAAATGTACTTAAAGCCTTTTAGGAAAACTTTTCATTGAAAATGTAAAATCATTAAAAATTTTTGTATTAAAAGCATAGAGAGAAGGTTTTAAAATAGTCTACCAGTTATAATATTACATTATTTGAATGAAATACACTTGATACAGTTCTTGTTAGTTTGATGCAGAACCATTTTCCAAGACTTTTTCAAAGATCAACTTAAGTTTTAGTAACTGGTAGGAAATAATGATACCTTAACATACTTTAAGTTAACGAGTAACTTTAAGTACTTAACAACCTCTTTCAATACTTATAAAGATAATACAAAAACTTTATTTTTTTATAACAAACTAAAAATAAAGTTAATTTCTAATGTTAAACTTTAATGTTAAAGCAAAGTATAAAATGTTTTAAAGAGCAAAACTATAAATAACACTATAGTGTTATAAAACACTATAGTGTTAAAAACTACCCCTGTAACAAAATTATCAGAACAAATTCTAGAATGATTTAAATCAAAATTCAACTATTCATATTTTATTGCAATAAACCATTAACTTTTAGTGCAATAAAAGTAAATATTTTAGTGCAACAAAAAACTTCTTTTTGTTGAAAGTTGAAATCCTCGTCGTGATTAGAAATTTTGATTGGAATACAAAAAAATTACACAACTTTAACAAAATAACACAACTTTCAGAACAATTTGAGTAGCCAGAAAAACAAAAAAAAAGCAGGACTTAGATCAAAATTATACCAACAGATATATTGATATGACAAAACAATCAATGTGTATTATTTTCGTATTTGTTTGTTTTTTGAACCATCGCCATTATGGTTCAAAACTTTTTTAATTGTTTTTGTTAATTGTTAAGTTCTATTTTTTTAAAAAAGCTAGCGAGGCCAGGTCCAAAACAAAGATACTGTCAACCCGAACACAGACACTGACAATAGAAAAGTCTAATAAAGTTTTGTTTAACAATAATAATAGTTATAAATAATCGATTAGCAATCAATTCCAGCGAATAATAGCAATGTACACAATAACATTGTGTAAAAATAATCATTATCATAGTATATAATAAAACAAGCTTTAAATACTCAATAATGTATTAAGACAACTTATGTTAAATGTATTTATTAACTCGTTGCAAAGAAATATTTACCTTTAGATTTAAGCGTGAACAAATTATCATCTACAGCCAAAACCACTGGCATAAATTTTAATAAATAAGAAATTTTAATTATTTTAGACATTATAGTCACGAAAAATTAATTAATGTGATATTCCTTTTTTTCACTGTGGACACATACCTTTTATTTGTCATGCGACATTTAGCGCGTGGCGCAAAATTTATTAGTATGGCGTGACATTTAAACAGTTATACTCTTTGTGACATTGATAACTGCTTGTTATAAGTAGCAAGTCGCGCGACTTTATTTCTTTGTAAAAATTTAAAAGTGGCGTGAAAGTTAAACATTTTCATTTAAGAAATTGGCGTGACATTTTTTACAGTGTAGAGATAAAAAATCAAATCAAAATGTAAACAAATAGTATTTTTAGCTAAATATACTATCATTGGCTTTTAGTAAATTTTAAAAGCAGTGTACTCAATGTATGAAACTATCAATTAATCATTTTTAACGATAGACACCAGCGGAAAGGTTAGCCAAGCTGTCTTTCAACAAAACCATCGAAAACAAAAACATTACAACGGAAAATTGCACATAGCAATTTGTATGTAGGGACGATATGAAGATATGAAGCCTTGATTCAAAAATCCAGAGGGAAATAAAAAATAATATCAAAAGGCAAAAAGAAAATTTTTTCAAAAGAAAAACAGGAAAATTTATAATTTAAAACTGATAATGACTTGCATATAGTTGAAACATGTATTTAAAAAATGAAAAAGTTTGTTTTATTTAAAAAAATATATAAATATATATTCAAAAAATGATAATAATAAGACACCATGTATTATAAAAAAATTGATGACATATGTCAA